GTGGTTAATGATCCTAGCTCTCTGAAATCTGCACTAGGCATTGCAATTCTTGGTTTCCAGTAAGCTGAATGACTACCTTATTGGGGGGTGGGGGGGGAGGGGGGGAGTGAGAGACAACAAACAACACCTAAAAAATTCACAGCCATCGGGTTGATACCGATTCATAGCAATCCTGTTAAGGGTTTGCGGGAACAGAAACTTTCTCCTGCCAATAGGCTAGTAGGTTTGAACAGACTCAATCTAGTGCTTATCCTACAGTGCGAAAGCAACTTCAAATTCTGTAGTATTCAAGAAGCAAGACCTGGAGCCACAGATTTTTTCCGCTGGGAGTGTACAAGCATGTCTGGAACTAGGTCCCTTCCATCCTACCAAGCAAAGACCTTCTAGGCCCCTCGCCACTCCCACCTCACTAGCGGGAGGGGGACAGACCTTGGAGGCTTCATTGTACGGCTGCGCGGTCGTCAAGATGGTGACATCCACAAGTGGTTACTTAAGGGTGCGGCCATTGCAGCTGCCAGACGGGCTGTGACCGCGACCCCCGCGGTGGCCATATCCGCCTCGCTTTGCAACTAGGTCGTGACAAAGCCAGAAACAGTGAACCACAGGAGTCCGGGAATGGGCGAAGAGGCCCTGTGTCCAGCAGAGATGGCTCTGTCCGAGTCTGGAAACAGGGCTGCGGTAAGGGTGATGATTCGGGCAGGGGCCGACCATGAGATGATTTGTGCGGTTTGGCGGTGAATGATAGTCTTTTAACTGTTGATGTTAAATGCCATCCTGCGGGCTTCGAGTCATAGCGACCCTGTATAGGGTTTCCGAAGAGCGCCTGGTGTGTCTCAACAGCGCCGATTGGACGGCTGCGGTAGTGTAGGATGCTCTGTGAAGATCTGTGATTTGGGAATTGGGGGCGTCACTGCTGGAGCGTCGGAGCTTGTTTCTCGGGCTGTGGGGTTAGTCATCTGTGGGTCAATGACTGCTGCTGTTTTGGGAAATAAGTGTTTTGAAGGATCTGTGGAGAAGGTGGTGGGGAATCTGTGGAAGTCACTGAACTATTAAGCGTTGGAAAGCAGCTATGGGGATGGTGGCTGAGGATATGCTGTTTTGTTTTGTTGTTTGGTGAGATTGAGGAGGCGTGTGGGGTCTGCGATTTGAGGTGTTTAGGGGAATCAGCCAGCACAGATGAGAGTGACTGGCTTGTCACTGAAGGGCAATGCTGGGGATTAGGGAGTGTGGTGATTGGGAATATTTGTGAGTATCATAGATTGGCACCTGGTGGTCACCATGGTGATGATGTCTGTGGAAATCTGATTAGTGCTGTCTTTGAGGGTCAGTAATTAATATGCTATGATGTGTAATGAAGGAATCTGGGGACATAGTGGTTGGTGGAATTTGTAGGGAATTAATGTTGAGGTATCTCTGGGGATTGTAGATGATCCTTTTGCCATTTGGGGAGAAAAGGTCAATAGGTATCCTGTGTGTTGTAAATTCACACTTCTGTGATGTTAATGCCACCATCCATCTGTCAGTTTGTCACACTGTGGTGGCTTATGATGCTGGAAGCTATGCCACTGGTGTTTTAAATCCAGCAAGGTCACTGATGGTGGACAGGTTATAATGGAACACCCACACTAAGACAGACTAGGAAGAAGGAGAGTCGAACCATTACTGAATGGTTAACCACTGAAGACCTTATGAATAATAGTTGAATATTATCTAATGTAGTGTCAGAAGGTGAGCCCTCAGCTTGGAAGGCACTTAAAATACAACTAGGAAAAAGTTATCTCCTCAAAGTAGAGTTCACCTTAAAGATGAGGATAGAGTTAAGCTGTTGGGACCTTAATTTCCTGACTTGGCACAATTCAAAACGAGAAGAAACAGCTGCAAACATCCACTAATAGTTGGAACATGAAGTCTACGAAATATGAATTGAGGAAAATTGGAAGTTGTAAAAAATGAAATGGAGTGCATAACGATTGATACACTAGGTGCTCTAGGATAAGCACTGGACTGAGAACCACAGGTTGGCAGTTCAAACCCACTAGCTGCTCCTCAGAAACCCTGTACAGGGTCACTATGAGTCAGAATCGACTGGATGGCACTTAACAACAGAGCTGAACTGGACTGGTATTGACCATTTAGAATCTAACAATCATATGGTTTACTATGCCAGTAATGACAAATTCAAAAGGAAGGGCATCACATTCATCATCAAATAGAACATTTCAGGATCTATCTTGAAATACTGTGCTGTCCATGATAGGATCATATCATTATGCCAGTTAATATCACTATTATTCAAATTTACCCAACAACCACTATAGCCAGTGATGATTAAATTGAAGAATTCTACTGGTTTGAACTGCAAGGTTGGTGGTTCAAGCCCAGCAACTGCTCCTTGGAAACCCTATACAGGGTTGCTATGGGTTGGAACTGACTCTATGGAACATAACAATAAACTAACTTCTTCAATCTGAAATTGGCCCAATATGCAATCAAGATGTATTGATAATTACTGGTGATTGGAATGTGAAAGTTGGAAACAAAGAGGAAAAAGAATCAGTATTTGGAAAAAATGGCCTTAGTAATAAAAATTATGTGGGAGATGGTATAATAGAATTTTGCAAGACCAATGACTTATTCTTTGCAAATACCTTTTTCAAAAAACATAAAATGTGACTATACAGCTGGGCCTCTCCAGATAGCATTCACAGGAATCAAATTTGTGTAAAGAGATGATAGAGAAGCTCAATATCATCAGCTTAAACAAGGCCAGGGTACCTATTGTGGAACAAAGAATCACTTGTTCAATATGCAAGTTCAGGCTGAAGTTGAAGAAATTTAAAACAACTCCACAAGAGCCAAAATATGACTTTGAATATATCCTACCGTAATCTATAGACCATCTCAATAGCAGAGTTTATGCATTAGACACTAATTTTCAAAGACCAGAAGAATTGTGGGATAGCATCAAGAACACCATACAGGAAGAAAACCAAAGGCCACCAAAAAGACAGGAAAGAAACAAAAGACTGAAATGAATGTCAGAAGACTGAAATTTGCTCTCCAGTATAGAGATGCTAAAGTGACTGGAAGAAATGATGAAGCAAAAGAGTTGGACAGAATATTTCAAAAGACAGTTTGAGAAGACAAGGTCAAGTATTATAATGAAATGTGCAAAGACCTGGAGTTAAAAAATCAAAATGGAAAAACACGCTCAGCATTTCTCAAGCTGAAAGAACTGAAGAAAAACATTCAAGCATTGACTTGCAACATTGAAGGATTCTATCAGCAAAATATTGAATGATGTTGGAAACATCCAAAGAAGATAGAAGAAATATACAGTTACTGTATCAAAATGAATTGGTCATCTCAAGAGGTACCTTATGATCAGGAACCAATGTTACTGAAGAAGTCCAATCAGCACTGAAGGCATTGGTGAAAATCAAGGCTCCAGTAACTGAAGGATTTCAAATTGATTGATGTGATTGGTGTGTCTTTGGGAGCAAGTGATTGGAGAGACCTGTTGCTGTTAGTAGTTGGGAGGTTTGGTTGGGTCAGTCATTTTAGAATCATGGGCTCAGTGATTATGGATGGATGTGACAACTCAGAGATTGGTCGGCCAGTGACTCAGTATTGGAGGACTCTTGGGAGCCAGTTTGTGGACGTCTTTGGGGTTAGGAATTGGTAACATGCACAGGTAATTTATTGATGACTTTAAGCCTGTAAGATATTATCACTAAGTGTTAAACAAATATATTTGAACATACAGTATTTATTATATCAAAATTCTTCAATAGATGCCCACTGTCTTTTCACATGTCTAATAGGAGTCCTGGTGTGGCACTGTGGGCTAATGCATCAGACTGCAAAGTCATTTGAACTGCAAGGTTGGTGGTTCAAGCACACCAGCGGCTCCTTGGAAACTCTATACAGGGTCATTATGGGTTGGAATCGACTGGAGGGCACTTAACAACACCAAATAGAAGAACTTAAATAACATGCTTTAAATTCTTCTCTGCCCCTCTACCCTCCTAGTTATCCTAGGGTTTGAAAGTTTAATTCTGCTTATTGTTCTTATGTTATACTAATTGATTTCAGGGATACATTCATAACAATTGCATATGCATATTAACAAGTTACATAGATTAACTAGACATTTTACTGTTTTTTACTATTCATTGCCCCCTGTCTCTTCATTGTGGTAAAAATATACATATCAAAGCACTTACCCATACAAAGTCTGTGTGATCTTTCTTGTATATTAAGTTTTTCTGAATCTTGAAATCTAGTTTCTTTTTTCAGAAAATTTTTCATCTTCACCTTCTCATCCTTGCATAATGTATTTTTCTTCATCCTGATCTTCTCCTTCTTTATAAAGTATTCAAGCAGCATATTTTCTGTATCCTTGCATGCCTAAAATGTTTTTCTCCTGCTCCCCAACATGAATGATATATATATATATATATTTTTTTTTTTTAATGTGTCATTTATTGTGCATTATGTGACAGTTTACATGGGAGAACATTAGCTTTACATTCATCCTATTGTATATTGCTTCATTGCCATGGTTACAATCCCTCCATGCATCATCAACCAACCAAAGTGTATACCCCCCAAGCCTGCCCCTCAGTTGTCAGCACACAGCCCCATGAATGATAATTTGACTGGTTATAAAAATCAAAAGTTTCAACTCTGCCTGAGAACTCTATAAATATTTTCCCACAGCCTTCTAGCATTCATTGTTACAAAATAAAAGATAACAAATGGATTTTGTTTTGTTTTGTTTTTTTGTAAGTCTTCATTTATCTTCTTAAAGTCACAATACTCTTTGTGTGTATATATATGTTTCCTAATGCAGAACTGGGTAGAGAATAGGCTTCCATCATGTCTCTGTCATCCTGTCAATATAGCGCAGTCAGTCACCCTCTGAATGGAGATAACATTAGACTGACAAAGAACGTCATGTGCTATTACAGGGAGTAGTAACATTCAAAGATGGGACCATGGCCTTTACCCAGAAGGAATGGGAGCAGCTGGATCCTGTTCAGGGGAACTTGTACAAGGATGCGATGCTGGAGAACTACAGCAACCTGGCCTCAATGGGTAAGGACGATTCTGTTGTAATTCAAACTGTGCCTTCAGCCAGACTCTAATACTGTCTCTCTGACATCCTTGATAAGTTTGGCCTTGATTTTTATGGGTTGAAGAGTTTGAATCCTTTTGGGGTGCTAGAAAGTATATATGTACTCCCACATTTGGAAAGGATGGTAGACTTGGCTGAAGTAAGATACATCTACACTGAAAATGTAAAGGTCCTGAAGCTCAAATGTCAGGGGTTGGCTTCTGGGGTGTTTATTGCTCCACATTCAATTTCTGCCATTTCCTATTAGCAGGGTATGAAACTCCCCAACCAAACATGATCTCCAAGTTAGAAAAAGGAAAGGAGCCATGGTTGAGAAGGAGGAAGAGACCTAGTCAAGGTTGTCTGAGTGAAGTCATGAGACATAAGCAAATTGTAGCCAATGGAGGTAAGCTCCTAGTTTGGTAACTTGGGAATTTTTCAAATAAAATCAGTAAATTATTTTTAAAACCCTTAAGAACCTTCTTTATTAGCTAGGAAGTAGCAATAGAGAATTATCAGAGTTCCCTGGGGGAAGTACCATTCAAACTGCAAAGATTCTCTAACCTTGGAGATTCTGATATCTTTTTCTTCTCTGAATCTCTCCACATGAGAAGTTCCTATGGAAGGTTCACCATATAGTGAGACACTTACTTATGGGTGTTTGGTTATACCACGTGTATCAGTTAGCTTAAACCAAGGTATGCCTCATTAAGACATGACCCCTTGCTCAATCTACAATCCAGTTCCACATTATCTTCATTTAGAGATCTAGGCTATAGGAGCAGTTCCTGTCTGCAACATGCTAGTCTCATAGCAAAGGGAAAAAGGATGTGTGCACCTGCATGATGACTCCTAAGATCGCTGATTGCAAGTAGTAGTTCTCTCTTTTTATTCACATATTATTGACTAGAGCAGATTTCCTGGCCACTCCCAAGTTCAAGAGGACAGGAAGATGTAATCCTTCCATAGGGAAGAGGACTGAATTCCACATGACCAACTATTAGGGCCCAGAAACAATAATAGAATCTGCTACACTACTCAGTCCTGGTGTGATGCTGTGGGTTAATGTGCTGGACTGCAAGGTCAGTTTGAACTGCAAGGTTGGTGGTTCAAGCTCACTAGCCACTCTTCTGAAACTCAATACAGGGTTGCTATGAGTTGGAACCAACTCGACGGCACTTAACAACAACAACTGAACTACTCCGAATGTGGTAGAAAAAAATTAGAAAACCAAGGCTCTAAACTCTAATATTAATATTGTTAAGTGCCGTTGAGTTGGTTCTGACTCATAGTGACCAGGTATAGGGTTTCAGAGGAATGGCTGGTGGGTTTGAACGGCTGACCTCTCAGTTAGCAGTCCAGTGCTTACCCTACAGCACCATATCAGAACTCCCTACTATTAATACCAATTATTAATATTAGTCAATTATTTGGTATTAGCTCACTAATATTAATACCAATTGCTAATGCCTGACCTGATACGAGCAAAGGTATGCTCATGTACTATTGGACAAAAATCTCATGTATGTACTGTGAATCCAGATGATATAAAGTTTTTTTGTCAAGCTGATGGCTATGAAATTTATTATTTGGTAAAGACATTAGGAAATTCAGAATAATTGTAGGATTTTTTGTTTTGTTTTTAACACAGCTTGTCATTAACATATTGGTCATGGTGATGATATAGGGGAACAATCTCTCAGTCACCTGTAAACTGTTCAGTGATCCTTGGTGGACCCACTATATTTCTCTCTTTTGTTCTTTTGGCTGCAAGAACAAAAATTTACTTGGGTTAACCTAAGTAGAATAGAGGAATTTATTATAATGACATGGGTTTTTGATTATATCTATTATAAACCAAAGGCATGTGCTTCAGCCAGACCTCATCAGGGAGTACAACCAGGAACTGGGAAGCCATGTCTGCTTTTCTGTGTGTAAGTTTCATTCTCTCTACTGATGAGCTTTCTGTTTACATAGGAAGACTATGGCTAAAGCAGAATTTGTATTAAAAGAAACCCTGGTAATAATACAACAGGTAAGCATTTCTCTGCTTACCAAAACGTTGGTTTGAACTTACTCAGTGGCTCCTCAGGAGAAAGATATGTAATCTGCTTCTATAAAGATCACAATCTAGAAAATCTCATGGGGCAGTTCTACTTTGTTATATGGGGTTGCTATGAGTTGAAATTTGACAGCATCTAACTACAGAATCATCTTATATGGCTTTTAATTTTATGTATCTAAAGAGACTAGAGTAGACATTTTTAGGAGAAAGAATCTTATTAGATGTCTTGACTATGATGGTGGAGAATTATGGGGATATAGCATGGGCTTCAGAATCTACTCTGGGAGGGTTGGCAGGTATCAAAATGGGCAGCTTAGTCTGGACAGAGACCTCAAAAACTTCAAAATGGGCAGCTTAGACTGGACAGAGACCTCAAAAACTGTCAACTACAAGCACAAACTCTTCTGTCTCTAATTATCCATTCTCTACCTACTGCTCCTAATGTTTATTTCATCTTCTAGCTCAGATTGTAAATTTATATTTGTAAATAACAGAAACTATTTCTAATCACTATTGTCAATTTTCTTTCCCTGTTCTTACTACAGCAAGTCCAAGAGGATAGGGACATTTTCCCTTGCTACTTCTTTCACTTTGGGAGAGTAGGCTTGAGTAAAGATTCAACACCATGACAGGGCATTTAATTGTAAATTTTATTCCATACTATGAGGGTGGAAAGCTTCTCAAGAACATCTCATTGAATTCTATTTTAGAAGAAGCCCAGCAAGATGATGACGAGGTAGAAAAGCCCCAGGAATCTCAAAACAAACTCGTTAGGGAAGACGCATCCAAGAAGACAATTCTGACTGTAAAGAAAGGCTTTGAGCATAGTGCATTGGGGAAAAAAATTAAAGTGAATGCAAAACATGTTCCTTCCAAAAAGAGACTTCTTAAATTTAGTTCACACGGGAAGAGTTTGAAACAAAATGTCGACTTGCCTGTTCATATAAGAAACTGTGTAAAAAAGAAACCTGATGCAGCTAAAGAACACAGGAAATCACTCGGGCATAGTTTACCTGCTACAAAGAAAGAGAAACCTGAGACTGGGAAGAAACGTGAGAAATTATCCAGCCATAGCTCTTCTGCCAAGTGTGACAAAACTCAAGCTAAAGTGAAATCCTATGAATGTAATCAATGTGGGAAGGTTCTCAGTCATAAACAAGGACTTATTGATCATCATCGGATTCATACTGGGGAGAAACCCTATGAATGTAATGAATGTGGGTTAGCCTTTAGCCAAAAGTCTCATCTTGTTGTACATCAGAGAGTTCACACTGGAGAAAAACCATATGAATGCATTCAGTGTGGCAAAGCTCACAGTCATAAACATGCGCTCACTGATCATCTGAGAATTCATACTGGTGATAAGCCCTATGAATGTACAGAATGTGGGAAAACCTTTACACATAGTTCAAACCTCATGCAACATGTGAGATCTCATACAGGTGAGAAGCCCTATGAATGCAAAGAATGTGGAAAATCCTTTAGATATAACTCATCTCTGACAGAACATATGAGAACTCATACAGGTGAAATACCATATGAATGTACTGAATGTGGAAAAGCCTTTAAGTATAGTTCATCCCTTACAAAACATATAAGAATTCACACAGGTGAGAAGCCCTTTGAATGTAAGGAATGTGGGAAAGCTTTTAGCAAGAAGTCACACTTAATTATACATCAACGGACTCATACGAAGGAGAAACCCTATGAATGTAAAGAATGTAGAAAAACCTTTGGACATAGCTCATCACTTACTTACCACATGAGAACTCATACAGGTGAAAGTCCTTTTGAATGTAATCAGTGTGGCAAAGCTTTCAGACAAATCGAAGGCCTTACTCAACATCAGAGAGTTCACACTGGGGAGAAACCCTATGAATGTAATGAATGTAGGAAATCATTTAGCCAAAAGGCCCACCTTATTGTGCACCAGAGAACCCACACTGGAGAGAAACCCTATAAATGTAGTGAATGTGGAAAAGCCTTCAGTGCGAAGTCACAGCTTGTTATACATCAGAGATCCCACACTGGAGAGAAACCCTATGAGTGCAGTGAATGTGGAAAATCTTTCAAACAAAATATATCCCTTACCAAACATGTGAAAACTCATTCAAAGTGAAATGTTATGAGTGAAATCAATGTGGGGAAAGTTTGAACTGTACTGAAGATTTTGTTTAAGTTAGAAATATTCAGAATTTAATGAATGTTAGAAAAGCCTTTAGCAAAGAGTTTGAAAATGGTTCAAAACAATTATAAGTGATCTGCGTGTTCAGTTGAAATTTAGCTTTTAAAATTATAAATAAATTGAACTATCAGAACTATGGTGGTGGTGGTCGTGGTTATGTGCTGTGGAGTTGGTTCCAACTCATAGCAACCCTGTATAGGGTTCCTGAGGCTGTAAATCTTTACAGGAGAAGAAAGCCTCATCTTGCTCCCATGGAATGGCTGGTAGTTTTGAACTGCTGACCTTGAGGTTAGCAGCCCAACTCATAACCACTACACTACCAGAGCTCCTATCAGAACTATAGAAGAACAAGTTATACATACATAGAATCCCTGAGTTGCTTGGATAGTGTGTATGGAAGTACCACATGTTAGAATTCAATTGAGACCCTGTGTATTGCCATGTATAAACAAGTATGGCTGTTAATATGAGTGTCCTCTTTGATGTCAGTACCCAATTCTTAATGTCTTCATCTACTTCTGCAACAGCAGACAACGTGATAAATCGATTACTTCTTTTTTAATGTTAACATAAAATTGAGAGAAAATGTAACAAGCTTGTGAAAATATATCAGTGCTGGTAATGAATGATGTCCAAGATATTAAGTGCAAAAGGCAGTTTTCAGAACCATGTATATAGTATATTCCCATTTGTGTACAAAGGGGTTTGTGTGTGTTGTTTGCCTCTGTTTTTCTGTGAAGCTCTGTATCTGTGGGCAGATGAATTAATATATTTGTATGTAAATAGACTTTGAAAAAAATTACAGAAGAAATTTAAGTGTGACTGCTTTTGTGCACAGGAGTATAATATTCAGAGTCTAGAATGGGAGGGAGACCTCTTTTATTGTGTACTGTAGAATTGTATACTGTTAATTGTATTCTCATGTACATATATATTTACAGTGAAAATGCTCTTAATACACATAGATTAGTATTTAAATTTTTCAGTGAGCCCACTACACAATGTTGTTTGATAAAGTAAAAAGGTTCTAGACCAATTAATGTATCATGATGAATTTCAGAAACATGTGTAACTAAACTTGCTATTGAATTCACAAAGACTTTTCTTATAAAAACCAAATTCTTGCATTAAAATAGTGAATTACAGATATAACTCAATACTGTGTTACTTCTATTTACTATTTTTAAACAGACTAAAGATGAATTGTGATCGCAGGTGAATGAAAGTGATTTTCTGAACAAGCACTTCATTTTACTTCATATTTAGAGCATGATTACATAAGTCCCTGAATTAGAGCTCTCAAATGTACTACAGTAAATGCTACCTCTCCCTGATGTTGCTCAATGATACACACTGTTAATGAATAACTGCAGAGTAAACCCAGACTTCGTCTCAAAATCGTTCTCATTCTCCAGTGAGTCCATTTGGGTTTGCTCAGACGACTTTTTTGCCAATTGCATACCTAGGTATTTTTTGCTCTTGAACCATATATGACAAATAAAACTGAACTACTTTTTCAAAACACTATTATGTTTCTGGTGAAAGAGTACATAGCACATTAGGCTCCCATTCAACAGTCGGTACACAGATTGTTCAGTGACGTTGGTTACATTTTTCACAATGTGCCCACATTCTCATTAATTCCATTCTGGATATTTTATTTCCTGTAATCTGGTGTCTCTGTCCTCTGACCTTCTCATCTTTGCCTCAGAGTAATTGTTGACCATTTAGTCTCTTGTAGGTGATTTTTAAAAGTGTACAGTACTCACAGGTAGTATTCTGTATTTTATGAGCCAATCTGTTATTTAGCTGAAAGGTGACCTCAGTTTCAATTCAAAGATGAGCTGAGCTGTTTTTACTTTAAGTTGTTACACTAAAAGCAGGAGTCCTAGTGTGGCGCTATAGGTTAAGCACTGACTGGACTGCTAACTGCAAGGTTGGTGGTTCAAACCCACCAGCTGCTCCTTGGAAACCCTACACAAGGTTCCTACGTGTTGGAACTGACTTGATGGCATTTAACAGCAACAATGACACACTAAAAGCAGAGACGGGATAGTAAAAAAAGTTTTTAAATGTGATAATATTTGGCATGTATGTCACAGCATATTTCTTAAATTATCCCATTTTCTCAGAACAAGCATAGGAGATAGTAAGCAGGATTTGTCTGTTAATGTTCAACTGTGTTCAGTAAATATTTTATCTACTGTCCACTGAGATACTCGTCTAACTAATGACAATTCCTTAACATGTATGTGATTAAATGCCAGCTTTGCAAATATTTCCAGTTCAAATTCCCTGTCTTCAGTTCTCATTTCAAAGGCTTATAAAGTGTGTATTCTAGGTATGTATTGGGAAGTGTGTATGAGTGTCGAGAGAGCATCTCATGGATATTATTCCCTCATTCTCAAGTAACCTTTTTAGTCTCTGCTGATGAAAATACAACATGAAAGCCGTTTCCATCAGTAATTGCTTACTTACTAGAGGTCTGGCATTATGCACAGAATAAGGCTTCACTTTCCAGAGATGTAGGCAACCTACACTTTTTAGATGGATAAAGCAGTTACAAGTTATGATTCAAATGAACTTCCCATTCCTCTTGGAGAACCCACAATGGTGTTACATCTGGAATCATTGTTGTTAGGTGCTGCTGAGTCAGGTCTGACTCATAGTGACCCAATGTACAACAGAACGCAACACTGCCTGGTCCTGCGCTGTCCTCACAATTGTTACATCTGAGCCCATTGCTGCTGCCATTGTGTCAATCCATCTTGTTAGGAGCCTTCCTCTGTTTTTGCTGACCCTCCACTTTACCAAGCGCAATGTACTTCTCCAGGGACTGGTCCCTCCTGGTAACATGTCTGGAATATGAGAGATGAAGTCACACCTGTCCTATCTTCTAAGGAGTATTCTGGCTGTACTTCTTCCAAGACCGATTTGTTTGTTCTTCTGATAGTCCATGGTACTTTTAATATTATTCTCCAACAATATAATTCAAATGCATCGATTCTTCAATTTCCTCATCATTGGCTTAAATTGTTGGTATATAAATATGAATATAATATTAACTGGTCTTCCTTGTAGGCATATGGATAGTCTATCACAGACAACATTGTACTTTAAGATCAATCTTGAAATGCTCTTTTTGATGACGAATGCGATGCCATTAGTAAATCATATGATTGTCAGATCAAAATGGCCAATCCCAACCTATTTCAGCTAACTAATGCCTAGGATATCAATCTTCATGCATTCCATTTAATTTTTGACACTTCCAATTTTTCTAGATTTATACTTTGTACATTCCTCATTTTGAGTTTTTTTCCAATCAACAAATGAAGGTCCTGAAAGCTTTGCTCCATTGAAGTGATTATGATCAACTCTCCTTTGAGCCAGCTCTTCACCATTCATACTTTGAGTACCTTCCATCCTGAGTGACTCATTTCCTGGCACTAAATTTTACAGCATACTGTTATTATTCATAATATTTTCATCTTCTCATACTATATCTCACCATGTTCTTGTGCTGTTCTTAAAGTTTTCTGTGGTTAAGCGTTCAAAAGAATTCAGCCTCTCCTTCCCAGTCTTAGTCTGGAAATTCCTCTGAATCCTATCCACCATAGGTGACTCTACTGGTACTTCAAATACAGGTGCCATAGCTTTCAGCGTACAGCAACATGCAAGTCACCACAGTATGACAAACTGACAGATGAGTGCAGTACACCTAGGCTAGTCAGTAATTATCAGCATGCCTGGACAATAATGAATGCTGGAAGCCATTTAGAGCAATGACATATGGGTTCCTTAGATTTCTTCATAAAATAGGGATAGTCATAGTTTTTCTTTCAGAATTAAATTAGACCAGCTCACTTTTTCTGTAAAGGAATGTCATTGTTAGGTGCTGTTGAGTCGGTCCCAACGCATAGCAACCCTATCACCACAGAACGAAATGCTGCTCAGTCCTGCACCAGCCTCACAATCATTACACTTGAACCCTTTGCTGAGATCACTGTGCCAATCTATCCTGATGGAGTTCTTCCTCTTTTTCTTTGACCCATCCCTTTACAAAGCATGCTGACCTCCTACAGGGATTGGTCCTTCCTGATAATGTGTCTGAAGTATGAGAGATCAACTGTCACCATCCTGGCTTTAAGGAGCATGCTCCAACACAGATTTATTTATTCTTCTGGCAGTACCTTTAATCTTCTCCAACATCAGAACTGAAATGCTTCAATTCTGTGGTCTTCCTTATTCATTGTCCAACTTTCACATGCATGTGAGGCTATTGAAAATACCATGGCTTGATTCACATGCACCTTAGTCTTAACACTGATGTCTTTTCTCTTGAACACTTTAGCAGATTTGCCTAATGCAATACATCATTTGATTTTTTTACTGTTATGTGCATGGATGTTGATAGTAGAGCCGAGTAAAATAAAGTCTTTGACAATTTCAACTTGTCTAGATTTATCATGATGTTATTTATTGGTAGAGTTATGAGGATTTTTTTATTTTTTATTTTCCATTGAGGTGCAATCCAGACTGAAGGTTATATAGACTTTGATATTTGTCAGTAAATATTTTAAGTCCTCTTTGCTTTCAACAGGAAAGGTTGTATCATCTGCATATCACAGGCTGTTAATGAGTCCTCCTCCAATCTTCTTCATACAATTGTTTTCTTAGATTATTTGCTCAGTATACAGGTTGAATTAACTGTAGTGAAAGGATACAGCCCTGGCACACACCTTTCCTGATTTAAAACCATTCAGTATCCCTTGTTCCTTATGAGCACAATTAAGTGTTCTAGAATACCCATTCTTCACAATGTTATCCATATTAGTGGTTACGACTTGGGCTGTGAACCGCAAGGTCAGCAGTTCGAAACTACCAGCTGCTCCGCGGGAGAAAGATGAGGCTTTCTACTCCCGTAAAGATTT